TGCCCTGCTGAGCCCGCCAAAAGTCCCATTCTGCAAACGGTGCTGCACCAGTTGAGTAGTCCTCGACTTACGACCGGTTGAGTAGTCCTCGACTTACGACCGGTTGGGGGTCACGGCATTAAAAAGGTTGAGAACCACTGCATTAAAGGATCCACATAGAAGGGAACTCATATCCTTCATGACATGCTGGAAGCGATTCAGAACCGAAGCAACCTTAATTCCTATGCAAGAACACATATTGGGGAGAAACAACGCGGCAGAAGCGATTTTTATGCACAATTCTTCATTTTCTACCCCATAGGAAGATGAAACTTTAAAAAGGAAGGCTCTTAAACAGAGGCAAATAGTTGATCTGAACTCCAAACTTCGCCCCAATTCTGTTTCTGACTTTTCTGCTGATACTTAACATTTAAGGCAGGGATCCCCAACCTGTGGGGCCTGAGGGCTTTGCAACTGAGCCATGGACGAGTGCACGCACATCCTTACTCTTTCAACCGGGGTGTGAGCGAGCACATGTGGCTGTGCTCCATTTCTGCATAACTCTCTAGCAATTGAGAGGGAGATTGGATCTTGAAAACAAACAACTGTCAAGATTGTTATACCCTTCCACACTCATAACACACACTCGTGCACTCGTGGCTGGCACGAGAGCGCCCACATCCTTTCTCACTCAAGCGGTGTGTAAGCGAGCGCACGTTCCTGTGCTCCAGGTGCGCAAGGGGCAGGTGTGCGTGCACGTTCCTCGTGTAAAGGGAGCTGTGCACGCACTTGCCAGCTGCTTATGCAAACCATCCCCTCTCTCCCCTGCCAGTCTGCAAAACATTGGAGAACTCTTGATTTAAGGTGTAAGAGGATTCAAAACATGGTTCTACTTAAAGTGGGAAATTGTGTATATTGTAGCACCTCTTTCATCTATTTTTTTTTATTTGTTTAGCTGCCCATCTTATACATGGTTCCAGCTGGCTTACTATTGACATAAGAGCAAAGTAAAAGCACAACCAATAATTAAAAGCAACAAAATAGCAGTGAGAATAATCAAACACCACACAATACAATCAGACAACGGGCTCATCCAGACTATCAGGGCCCCAGGCTTGATGACAAAGCCAAGGTATTAATGCTTTAAAAAAGGCCAGCAAGGTTGAACTAAGCCGGATCTGGATGGTGGGGAGATGATATTGCCATGGCCCAAAAAACCAACCTCCTAAGTAGCACTAGATGCCACTCTTGGGGATGGAACCCAGAACAAGCTCTCTTGGGCACAAAGCCAGACCTAACAGGGTGGATAGACACTACAGGTAGTCCTCGACATACGACCACAATTGAGCCCAAAATTTCTCTTGTTAAGGGAGACATTTGTTAAAGTCAGTTTTGCCCCATTTTTCAACCTTTCTTGCCTCAGTCGTTAAGTGAATTACCACAGTTGATAAGTTAAGTCACATGGTTGTTAAGTGAATCTGGCTTCCTCATTGACTTTGCTTGTCAGAAGGTCACAAAAGGTGATTGCGTGAACCCCCAGGACACTGCAACCGTCATAAATAGGATTCAGCTGCCAAGCATCTGAATTTTGATCACAGGACCATGGGGATGCTGCAGTTATGACCGTAATTTTGAAAAGTGGTCATAAATCCCTTTTTTCAGCGCCGTTGTAACTTCAAACGGTCACTACATGAACTGTTGTAAGTCGAGGACTACCTGTACTGGAGACTGTGGGGGGGGGGTTCCATAAGTAACCCAGCCACAAGGCATGAAGGGATTGGAGTGGTTTACCTCACGAGGGGGAAGATCCTGGTGTAGAGTCAAACAAGAGCATAACTCTCTAGCAATTGAGAGGGAGATTGGATTTGGAAAACAAACAAGTGTCAAGATTGTTATACCCTTCCACGCTCACACCTGACCCGCTGTCTTTTACCATGGGTGCCAAACTCGCTGGGTGATGTGATGTGTCCTGTCAGAATCCGATTATATTTCATCTCTCGTTATCGACTATGGAAAACCCCATTTCTGCCCTCTCTGGATTCTGTCATACGATGGAGGGGAAGGGGTGGTGGTGAACAAAGGGGTTTTATGGCCCTCACTTCCTTCGGTAAGGACTTCACTTGAATGTGGATACCACCCAAAAGGACTAAAGCATAAGAATGGGGCCATCCGCTTTGATCTGCTCCTCTCTGAAGTCTCCCTTCCACCGGCAGTGAGGAAAAAGGGGTTGGAAATGTAGTGCCTGGGATTGTGGCTGGAAAGATGGTGGGGTGGGGCTGCTGGGCACCCCTTAAAATCTTGAACCGCAGGGCTTGGGCCCCAGGTCCTGTCTAGAACGCCTGCAACCATTTTCTCTTAATAAAGGATGCCTGTTGGAAGGAATATTCCAAGAGTTCTGTCTTCTTAAGATGCCAAGAATTTTTTTGCATTGGCGGAGCTCAGGTGGGCGCAGCCTCCGCACGATGCAAACGGCCCGTGGACCGGCAGTTTGACACCCGTCTTTCACCCTCCAATGAGCCTCACCTGAAGTAACCTCCCCATCACAAGACTCATCACAAGCCTCTGATGACACCCCTGACCCATCACCAGATCCTCACTTGACATACCCACACCTTATAAACAGAAGAGCGCAGATACATCCCCTAAATTCCACTGAATATGTTACCTAGCCTCTCGTAATGAAACATTCAGAAACCAACCACAAGGTTGGAGGACGAACGTATCACCCTCATTCTACAAACCTGAATTGCAGATATTCCTCACTATTGCAAACTTGTGTGGCTTTCTGGTGCTTTGGAAAATAAATTGACCCCCTCTTCTTTATGGCCACCTCTCAAATACTGGAATACTGTTATCGTGTGTCCCCCCCCCCAGTCTTTTCTCTAGACTAGCCAAACCCCAATCCTACAACTGCTCTTCATGCATTTTAGTCTCCAGGCCTTTAATCGTAATAATAATAATAGTAGTACTAGTAGTAGTAGTAGTAGTAGTAGTAGTAGTAGTAAAGTTAGAAGGGACCTTGGAGGTCATCTAGTCCAACCCCCTGCTCAGGCAGGAAACCCTACACCATTTCGGACAAATGGCTGTCCAGTCTCTTCTTAAAAACTTCCAGTGTTGGAGCATTTCCTGCTTCTGGAGGCAGGTTGTTCCACTGATTAATTGTTCTCACTGTCAGGAAGTTTCTCATCAGTTCTAGGTTGCTTCTCTCTTTGGTTAGTTTCCATCCGTTGCTTCTTTCCTGCCTTCAGGTGCTTTGGAGAACTGCTTGACTCCCTCTTCTTTGGGGCAGCCCCTGAGATATTGGAAGACTGCTATCATGTCCCCCCTCGTCCTTCTCTTCGTTAAACTAGACATACCCAATTCCAGCAACCGTTCCTTATATGTTTTAGCCTCCAGTCCCATGATCATCTTTGTTGCTCTTCTCTATACTCTTTCTAGTTGCTCTTCTTTGCCCTTTGTCCAAAGTCTCAACATCTTTTTTGTAATATTCTGACCAAAACTGGCCAATTAACCAGTGCAACAACTTGCCTCCAGAGGTTGTGGGTGCTCCATCACTGGGGGTTTTTAAGAAGAGACTGGACAGCCACTTGTCTGAAATGGTATATAGCAGTGGTTCTCAACTTGTGGGTCGAGACCCCATTTGGGGTCGAACGACCATTTCACAGGGGTCGCCAAACAACACAGTCCGCCATTTTTTCCCCTTTTCCTTAGCTGTGCTACTCCCTTTTATTCTATTGGCTTTTGAAAGCCAATAGAATAGACTCTCTTGAATAGAGTCTAATTCTATTGGCTTTCAAAAGCCAATAGGAATTGTCCAGGCTGTCTCTGCCCTGCTGAGCCCACCAAAAGTCCTCATTCTGCAAACGGTGCTGCACCAGTTGAGTAGTCCTCGACTTACGACCGGTTGGGTAGTCCTTGACTTACGACTGGTTGGGGTCGCGGCATTAAAAAGGTTGAGAACCACTGGTTTGTAGGGTCTCCTGCTTGAGCAGGGGGTTGCACTAGAAGACCCCCAAGGTGTCTTCCAGCTCTATTCTGATTAAGATGAAGATTAATCTTTGTGATTCAAACCAGAATCAGCGACAGAAAGGTGAGGCAAGAGGTTTTCATCAGCATAATAATAATAATAATAATAGTAGTAGTAGTAGTAGTAGTAGTAGTAGTAGTAGTAGTAGTAGTAATAAAGTTGGAAGGGACCTTGGAGGTCATCTAGTCCAACCCCCTGTTCAGGCAGGAAACCTAATACCATTTCAGACAAATGGCTGTCCAGTCTCTTCTTAAAAACCCCCAGTGATGGAGCAAGCACAACCTCTGGAGGCAAGTTGTTGCACTGGTTAATTGTTCTGTCAGGAAGTTTCTCGTCAGTTCTAGGTTGCTTCTTGTCCTGCCTTCAGGGGCTTTGGAGAATAGCTTGACTCCCTCTTCTCTGGGGCAGCTCTGAGATATTGGAAGACTGCTATCATGTGCCCCTCGTCCTTCTCTTCATTAAAGTAGACATACCCAATTCCAGCAACCGTTCTTCATATGTTTTAGCCTCCAGACAAATATCTTTCTTTGCAAGGTACTTTTTTTCCCTGTTAGGAAAATGGTTATATTCACAGCTGTGGTGTAGGACGATCAGTTTCGGGACAAAGTCCAAACTTTACCCCCTCAAACTCTTATCCCAACCATCACCCCTTTGGCTTCCCAGGATTAAAAGCCGGGGGCGCCCGGGGGCGCCCTCTTGCAAGAGCCTCCTGTTTGCCCAGCTCAGCAGGAAGCAGCCCTCAGGATGGCGGAGGAGCCGAGCGGAGTTGGGCGAGAAGAGTCCCAGGAGGGAGAACGGCTCCGTTCCCTGCAGGCCCCAAAATCTGGCGGAAACCCTTCCGGGGAGGGAGGCGCGTCTGCCCGGCTGCAGCTGCGCGGCTGGCCTGGGAAGGCGGAGCGCGGATCCTCGTCCTGCGCGCCTCTCTTTTGGGGATCGCGGGCTCGGTCCTCAAGGGCCGGCGCGGGGGAAACTCCGCCCTGGCAAGGATCCGACCGCCCCTGCGACTCATCCTTGCCCCTTGATGAGAGGCTTCCAAAAGGGCCAGGACTTTTGAAGAAGCGTCTTTGGGGGGAAAAAACAACCCCTCTGGAATACAAGGTGGAGAGGTATGTTGTGTGCGTGCTTGTGCGTTTGTGCGCGCTGTGGAATACAAGGCGGAGGGGAATTTTGCGTGTTTGTGCGCACTCTGAATTAACATGGCGGAAGGGTATTTTGGATCTGTGCTCTGGTGTAGAAAGTGGAGGGGTATTTTGTGTATGTGTGTGTTTGTGTGTGCTCTGGTGTACAAAGTGGAAGGATACTTTTGTGTGTGTGCGTGCGTGCTCTGGGATACTTGGTGGAGGGGCGTTTTGCGGCTGGGTCTGTGTCTCTGATTGTTTTACGTATTTCCCCCTTTTTCTGTGTTAAATTGAAATAGTTGGTCGCAAAAGCGACTGCCTGTGAATGCTCCTGGATTGGAGTTGAAAGGCAAAGGCAGAAGCAGTAGACTCTGTCCCATATAGTAATAGTAATAGGAGTAAAGTTGGAAGGGACCTTAGAGGTCATCTAGTCCAATCCCCTGCTCAGGCAGGAAACCCTACACCATTTCGGACAAATGGCTGTCCAGTCTCTTCTTAAAAACTTCCAGTGTTGGAGCATTTACTGCTTCTGGAGGCAGCTGTTCCACTGATTAATTGTTCTCACTGTCAGGAAGTTTCTCCTTAGTTCTAGGTTGCTTCTCTCCTTGATTAGTTTCCACCCGTTGCTTCTTGTCCTGCCTTCAGGTGCTTTGGAAAATAGCTTAATTCCCTCTTCTTTATGGCAGCCCCTTTATTTGGGTACATCAGGTTGCTCTGATAGACAGATGTAAAAGAGATGTTGAGAGTCTAGAAAGTGTGCAGAGAAGAGCAACAAAGATGATCAGGGGACTGGAGGCTAAAACATGCAAAGAACAGTTGTTGGAATTGGGTATGTCTAGTTTAATGAAAAGAAGGACTAGGGTGAAAGGAGAAAGTTCCTGGCAGTTGGAACAATTAATCAGTGGAACAACTTGCCTCCAGAAGTTGTGAATGCTCCAACACTGGAAATTTTTAAGAAGAGATTGGACAACCATTTGTCTGAAATGGTATAGAGCAGGGGTTCTCAACTTTGGCAACTTTAAGACTTGTGGACTTCAACTCCCAGAATTCCTCAGCCAGCTTTGCTGGCTGAAGAATTCTGGGAGTTGAAGTCTACAAGTCTTAAAGTTGCCAAAGTTGAGAACCCCTGGTATAGAGTTTCCTGCCTGAGCAGGGGGTTGAACTAGATGACCTTGTAAGGACCCACCCCACTTTGCATCTTAAGAAGACAGAACTCTTGGAATAATTCTTCCAACAGGAATCCTTTATTAAGAAGAAGTGGTTGCAGGCATGCTAGACAGGACTTGGGGTCCAAGCTCTCCCATTCAAGGTTTTAAGGGGTTCCCCAGCAGTCCCACCCAATCATCCCCCCTTCCAGTGATAGTTTCAGGCATCACAATTCCACCCCCTTGCTCCTTTCTTTCGGCTGTATGGAGACTTCAAATAAACTACATGAAAGGTAAATAGCTCTCTTTTGTCATGGTAAGGTTCTTTGATGCTAGTTACATTCAAAGTCTCTGTTTGATGTTGCAATAGACACATTCAATTCCTTAGAAGTATACTGAAGGAAGTGAGGGCCATAAAGCCCCTTTGTTCTCCCCCTTCTCTTCCTCTTATGGCAGAATCCAGAGAAGGCAGAATTGGGGTTTTCTATATTTGATGATTAAAGATGAAATATAATTGGATTCTGACAGACCTCCAAGGTCCCTTCCAACTCTGTTATTCTGCTATTCTTCTTAGCATGGGAAGCAGAAGCGTTATTAGGAACAATAATCATTCATTCCCTTTAAATGCTGCAGAATTCACAGAGGCTGTCAGCAGTTTGCAAAGTGTTGGCAAGGTTTAAAAACAAGGAAACCACAAAAGAATTAGAAGGGGGGAGAAGCTTTAAGAAATCTGAATGGAAACAAACAAAAAGAAAAGGGCTTCAGGAATTTCACGGCCCTTCAAAATCCAATAGGATAGGTCACATTTGAATGGGGGGGGGGAGAGGACTCTTAATCTCATTCTACAGTTTTGAATAAGGTTGCTTTTTTTTTCAATCAAGGAAAATCTTTGCATTTCTTTTGCAACAGGGAGAGAATAAATGAACTCCCAACAGGCAGAAGGAGTAGTCCTGGCTGTGACTCATAGGATAATTCTTCAAAATTTGATTAGAATAGAATAGAATAACAGAGTCGGAAGGGATCTTGGAGGTCATCTAGTCCAATCCCCTGCTCAGGCAGGAAACCCTACCATTTCAGACAAATGGTTGTCCAATCAAGGAGAGAAACAATCTGCAACTAAGGAGAGAGTTCCTGACAGTTGGAACAATTAATCAGTGGAAAAACAATACTCCAACACTGGAAGTTTTTAAGAAGAGATTGGACAACCAGTTGTCTGAAATGGTATAGAGCAGTGGTGGCGAACCTATGGCATGGGTGCCAGAGGCGGCACTCGGAGCCCTCTCTGTGGGCGCACATGCCGTTGCCCCAGCCTTGCCTCCGCCCGTGACCCCCTCCACAGCAGCAGCCTCCCTGGAGGAGAGTCCAAAGATGATCACTTTCCCAACGGAAACCTCTTTTTTTGCAAAGAAAACCTGTTTATTATTTTTAAAAAATCCCTCGCTTTCCCTTTTTTATGGCTGTCTCCTGTTTGAATCCCAAAGTCCAAAGTTTGCCCCTTTAAACCCCTTAACTCCCCCCCCCCTTTGCTTCCTAGGATTAAAACAGGATCCGCCCGGGGGCGCCCTCTTCCCAAAAGCTTTTAGGTCAGTGGGAAGGAATCCATAGGATCTGGGAGGATCTGGAAGAGGAGGAGGAGGGAAGAGGGAGGGACCTAAATAGGGAAAAGCAATCTCTGCTTCCACTTTAAATCGCTGACCGCGGTCTTTCCGTGGAAGGAGGGAGGTGCAGCTTGCTGGGAAGGCAACTGGCGTTGGAGCAGCTGTGAGGAAGGCGTTGCACGAATCCTGCCCTGCGCGCCTCTTCTTGGAGGACGGAGTCCCAGGCCCAGGGGCAGAGTAGGGTAAGAAGCTTCCACTCTCCTCTCCCTTCAGACACTTCTGGTAACGAGATGGGGAAAGTGCTTGGAAATTATGACTTTTAAATGCTGCTTTTAGGCATCCCTCCTAAGATTGTTCCTGTAGGCACCACTCTTTCTCCCTGGAGTTGTGGAGTTCCCCCCACACACACACCGCCAACCACTGGAAGTTTTTCCAAAAGAGACCGGACAACCATTTTGACCAGGATAGTATAAAGCAGTGTTTCTCAACCTTGACAATTTTAAGGCATGTGGACTTCAACTCCCAGAATTCCACAGCCAGCAGCCTTGAGCAGAGGGGGTTGGACTAGAAGACCTTAGGGGTTCCCTAGGATTCTGTGTTCTGTGATAGTTTCCCATGGGATTTTTTTCCCAGTGCTGTGTCAGGTAGCCCTTGATTGAAATGGCCGCTGGCCACTTTCTCCTACAACACAGCTTGCCTCCCGGACTTGTAGCTGCCCCAGGTACTGGAAGTTTTTCAGAAATAGACCCGGATCACCATTTGACCTATAAGGCCTTCTGCCTTGCGCAGAGTTGGGGTTGGGCTAGAAGACCTTGGAGGTCCCTCCCAGCCTTAGGATTCTATGTTCTAGGATCTTTTCCCATGGGTTTTATATTAATGATGATGATGATGATAATAATAATAATAATAACAATAGTAATAAAGTTGGAAGAGGTCTTGGAGATCATCTAGTCCAACCCCCTGCTCAGACAGGAAATCCTATACCATTTCGGACAAATGGCTGTCCCTGGTGCTTTAGTCAGGTCCAGAAGCCTTTGATTGAAATGGCTGCTGAATACCCTGGAGGAATTCCTGCTTTGCCCCTTTATTTCTTTGCTCATGCCAGACTGCCATTAACCCTGGGGGAAAGGGGGGGGGGAGGGAGCCATCAAGGTTGAGAGAGCCCAGGCCACAAGCAAGGAAATGGAATGTGGACCCATGGCCAAGCCAGCCAATCCAATTGGACATCAGGGAGATAATTGGGGGGGGAGGGCTTGAGAGAGGGGAAAGTAAGTGGGCAATCTTAGCCTGCAAACCTCATATCTGTTTTTTTTTTCTCCTCTCTCGTAACCACTCGTCTTTAGTAAAAGTAAATCCTTTTACTACGAATGCAGTTGAAGGCTCTTCCTTCCTAAATGACCGAGTCAGGACAAGTCCCACTGAAAGGAGGAATGGTCCTTGGAGCCATTGTTTGGGGGAGTCGCTCGGGAGGGACCTACCTCAAAAGAGGTAAAAGGTCCTTCTAAGGCAGAAAGGAATAGAATAGAGCTGGAAGGGACCTTGGAGGTTTTCTAGTCCAGCCCCGCATTCAAGCAGGAGTCCCTATATCATTTCAGACAAGTGACTGTCTAGGCCAGTGGTGGCGAACCTATGGCACGGGTGCCAGAGGCGGCACTCAGAGCCCTCTCTGTGGGCACGCGCGCCCTCGCCCCAGGCCTAGGCCTTCAGCTGGGTTTTATAAAACCTTTTCGCTTTTGCCTTGTGCAAAAGAAAAAGGTCCAATCAGTCAATTTCAACTTCTTGCGGGGGTGGGGGGGGGAAAGTTCTTGCAAAGTTGGAATTGATTGATTGAACTTTTTAGTCCCACCCAGTCTGCCATTACCACTGCAGCTACACCCACCCAATGGGCCACACCCATCCGGCCCTCGACAATGCATAAGTGGGTTTTGGGTTGCAGTTTGGGTACTCAGTCTCTAAACGTTTCGCCATTCACTGGTCTAGGCTCTTCTTAAAAATCTCCAGTGGTGGAGCACCCAAAATTTCTGGGAACAAGTTGTTCCACTGATTAATTGTCCTCCCTGTCAGGAGGTTTCTCCTTAATTCCAGGTTGCTTCTCTCTTTGATCAGTTTCCAACCACTGTTTCTTCTCCTGCCCTACTGATAACAAAACAAAATGGGTTTTGTTATCAGTAAAAAGAGCAGCAGGTCCATTTTGTACAGAGGTGGTTCAGGAAAGTTGCCCCATTCATGCATCTCGCTCAAGGCTCCGTTTCAGCTGACGATGCCCCCCCCCCGTCCCGATTGAATTTGCCCGCATTTCTTTTCTTCATGGGTTCCTTTTTGTTTTTCCATGTCCTTGTTTTTTATATCGCCACTCAAGAAAGATTCATTCATCAAGGAGAGAAGCAAGCTGGAATTAAGAAGAAATCTCCTAACGGGGAGGACAGTTAACCAGTGGAACATCTTTGCCTTCAGACGTTGTGGGTGCTTCATCACCAGAGCTTTTAGGGAAAAAAAACTGGAGGGGCCTCTTGTCTGAAATGGCACTATAGAGTCTCCTGCTTGAGCTGGGGGTTGGACTGGAAGACCTCCAGAGGTCTCTTCCAGCTCTCTAGTCTGACTCCAAAGGGCTGGGGGCAGTGTGCATTTGAAAAGAAATCATCCATTTCCTGTAGGCCAGTGGTTCTCAACCTGTGGGTCGGGACCCCATCTGGGGTCGAACGACCATTTCACGGGGGTCGCTAAACAACGTAGTCCGCCATTTTTTTCCCCCTTTTCCTTAGCTGTGCTACTCCCTTTTATTCTATTGGCTTTTGAAAGCCAATAGAAGAGACTCTCTTGAATAGAGTCTAATTCTATTGGCTTTCAAAAGCCAATAGGAATTGTCCAGGCTGTCTCTGCCCTGCTGAACCTGCCAAAAGTCCCATTCTGCAAACGGTGCTGCACCAGTTGAGTAGTCCTCGACTTACGACCGGTTGAGTAGTCCTCGACTTACGATCAGTTGGGGGTCGCGGCATTAAAAAGGTTGAGAACCACTGCTATAGGCTATTCCAAAGGGCAAGTGCCACCTGTGGAAAAAAAAGAGTTTTTCTTGTCTTCCCTGATTATCTGACAGGGAGGGTGAACACTCAATAGAACTCCCTGAGATGGGATCTGCTTGAGGCCTCCAGGTCAAGCTCTGTGATGCTTCAGTGCATACATTCATGGCTGTGAGGCCTGCCTTTGAATCCAATCCCTGGTCCTTCCACACCTTTCAGTTTTCTCCTCACCCAGTGTCAGCTTCTGTGTGTTGTTGCTGTGGCTGCAAAGCACTCAGATAAACTGATTCTCTACTTAGCACAGAAATAGGTAAAAATCGCCCTTCCGCACTGCAGGTTCAAGAATGTCGCTAGGATGTTTGATCGCAAATTATTGCTGTTTCCCCCCCCACCACTGGTAAATAGTCCTCGACTTACGGCCACAATTGGGCCCAACATTTCTGTTGCTAGGGGAGACATTTGTTAAGTGAGGTTTGCCCCGTTTTTATGACCTTTCTTGCCACCGTTCTTAAATGAATCGCTGCAGTTAATACGTTAACTGCACTTAACGGTGGTTAAGTGATTGTCATAAGTTCACGGAAAGGGGATCACATGACCCTTTCAGGGTCATCAATATGAACCAGTTTGCCAAGCATTTGAATTTGGATCACACGCACTCGTCGTCTTAAAAGGTTCGCCATCACTGACCTAGAGGCTTTGCATTTTGTTTATTCCTTTGGAAAGATTCTCCAAAGAAGATGTTTATTTGCCCTGCTTGGAAATTTTTGCTGATGGCTTTGTTCATTATGAACAAAACTTGCATATAATTTACTGAATTTTTCATTAATAGGAATGTTCATAGAATGTTCTCTTTCTGTTTTAGGAGTTGCCACGGATATAGCTGTGTTTTTCTCCATGGAGGAAGGGGCCCTGGTGGATGCTGAGGAAAAAGCCCTGCACCGAGAGGTCATGCTGGAAAACACAAAGAATATGGCCTCCTTAGGTAAGAGATTCTGTTAAGATGTTTATATTTATAAGATTATTAAGATGTTTATATTTATAATAATAATAAAGTTGGAATGGACCTTGGAGGTCATCTAGTCCAACCCCTTGCTCAGGATGGAAACCCTATGCCATTTCAGACAAATGGCTGCCCAGTCTCTTCTTAAAAAACTTCCAGTGTTGGAGCATTTACTGCTTCTGGAGGCAAGTTGTTCCACTGATTAATTGTTCTGTCAGGAAATTTCTCCTTAGTTCTAGGTTGCTTCTCTCCTTGATGAGTTTCCATCCATTGCTTCTTGTCCTGCCTTCAGGCAATTTGGAGAATAGCTTGACTCCCTCTTCTTTGTGGCAGCCCCTGAGATATTGGAACACTGCTATCATGTCCCCCCTCATCCTTCTCTTCATTAAATTAGATATACCCAATTCCAGCAACCGTTCCTTATATGTTTTAACCTCCAGTCCCCTAATCATCTTTGTTGCTCTTCTCTGTACTCTTTCTAGAATCTCAATATCTTTTTTACATTGTGGTGACCAAAACTGGATGCAGTGTTCCAAGTGTGGTCTTACCAAGGCATTGTAAAGTGGTATTAACACTTTATGTGATCTTGATTCTATCCCTCTGTTAATGCAGCCTAGCACTGTGTTGGCCTTTTTGTCAACTGCAGCCCACTGCTGGCTCATATTTAAGTGATTGTCCACTAGGAGTCCAAGATCCCTCTGACAGTTACTACTATTGAGCAAGGTACTCCCTATACTATAACTGTACATTTGGTTTTTCTTGCCTAAGTGTAGAACCTTATTTTTTTCATCATTGAATATCATTTTGTTAGATAGCGCCCAGTGTTCAAGTCTGTCCAGATCCTCCTGTATCTTCTGGAGTGTTGGCTATTCCTGCCAGGTTGGTGTCGTCTGTAAATTTGATGAGTTCCCCATCTATCCCCTCGTCCAAATCGTTGATGAAGATGTTAAAGAGCACTGGGCCCAGAACAGAGCCATGGGGCACCCCACTACACACTTCCCTCCATGTAGATGCAGTTCCATTGAGGACCACACGCTGAGTATGGCGGTCAACCAGCTACGAATCCATCTGGTGGTGATGCTGTCTTACCCACATTTTTCTATCTTATCAAGTAGTAGGTTGTAATCTACTTTGTCAAATGTCTTACTGAAGTCCAAGTAAATTATATCCACAGCATTCCTCTGATCCACTAATTTTGTCAGTTGGTCAAAGAATGCAATAAGATTTCTCTGGCATGATCTGTTTTTGACAAACCCATGTTGGCTTTTAGTAATGACTTTGTTTGCCTCTACATGTTCGCTGATCCGTTGTTTGATTATCTTTTCCAGAATCTTCCCAGGTATTGAGGTCAGGCTGATAGGTCTAGGTCTATAGTTTCCTGAATCTATTTTTTTCCCTTTTTTGAAGATGGGAACTACGTCAGCTCTTTCCCAGTCCTCTGGTAGTTCCCCAGTGCTCCAGGATCTTTCAAAAATATAGTTCAGTGGTTCTGAGATCATATCTGCCAGTTCCTTGAGAACCTTGGGGTGTGATCCATCTGGTCCTGCTGATTTGAACCTGTCTAGGCTGGACAGGTGTTCACTTACCATTTTCTTGCCTATCTTAACTTGTGTTTCTAATCTGTTTTTTTTTTAATGGTACTGTTTTTGATAGGTTGGACTGTTTTTTTCCCTTTGTGTAAAGACAGATGCAAAGAATGAGTTAAATAGTTCTGCTTGCTCCCTGTTTCTTGTTACCTTCTTGCCACTTTCCCCCAATGGACCAATCATTTCCTTCACTTTTTTCTTGTTTTTTACATGTTGAAAGAAGCTTTTTTTATTATTTTTGACTTTGGTTGCAAGCCTTAGTTCATTTTGAGCCTTAGCTTTCCTCACTTCATCTTGCAAGCACGTGCTATTTGCTGATATTCTGCCTTAGTTATGTGCCCCTCTTTCCACTTTTTATACTTGTCCTTTTTATCTTTCAATTTATCAGAGTTCTTTATGCATCCATGCTGGTTTCTGTTGAGAGCTGTTATTTTTCTTCTTTGTTGGTATTGTGCTAGACTGGGCTTTTAGGTTGAAAGGATCACACACCTTGGTTCCATTTTACATGAAAGCTGGGACATGACCGTTGAAGTAAAGACAGGGATAGAAAAAGCTCGAACGGCATTCTTCAAAATGAAAAAGGTCTTCTGCAGTCATGACATAAGCCTAAGATTGAAAATCAGGCTTCTCATATGCTATATTTTTTCTATCTTGCTATATGGAGTAGAGAGCTGGTCTCTGACAGAAGGCCACCTGAAGAGAGTAGAAGCATTTGAAATGTGGATTTACGCATAAGCTGGGTTGACAAGATCAGAAATGAGGTGATAAGCCAGCTGGGAAAGCCAAGGGAAATCATCAAAACAATTAAAAAACGAAAATTAGAATATTTTGGACATGTGATGCGACACTCAGAAAAATACGGTATATTCCATTTAATCCTCCAGGGAAAGATTGAAGGCAAACAAGGTTCAGGCAGAAGAAGAACATTGTGGCTTCAAAATCTAAAGGACTAATTTGGACAAAACTCAGCAGCACTTTTTCATGCGGCTGCTGATAAGAACAGGATTGCCAACATGATCGCCAACGTCTGATAACGAATATGGCACAAGAAAAAGAAGGGCTTTTATTATCTCTCTTTTCAAAATTTCCCAAGCTTCTTAAGTTGTTTTCCCCTTGAGGATTCTCATCCATGGAATCCTTCCCAAGCTCTCTCTTAAGTTTATTGAAATTAGCTTTCTTAAAGTCCAAGACTCTAGTTTGACTGTGTCCTATTGCTTTAGTAGCTAGAACAGTGGGGTTGTAAAATGAGTCAGAAGTTACAGTTATAGCTGATTGGTTGGAGAGAGCTGTTTCTTGTCTGAGGCAATCTATGCTGTGATTGGTTACTGTGAGTGTAAAGGAGGACTTTCCTTGTTTCCCGCCTTTTTTCCTCTGTATGCTCTGTAATTTTACCTCAGGATGACTCTGTTAGCCTGACTATCTTGTTTACTGTAAATATTGATATAAAATATATTAATTTAAACAAAAACTACAAGTTCGTGTCAGCGTCTCTGCCCTCATTTAGACACCTGCTGCGCAATTTCCTGACAGATTCTCTTTCCTCTGGATTGAAAGTGTAGTGGACGTGAGCAGCTGATCTGTTTCTCAGATGAACTCCTAGTTTCTTCCTGTATGCAGTAAACAGCAGTGTCCTTATCTGCGTTTCTACTCCTACTTAGTCTGAGAAAATGACCTCCACATTGTCTCCCTGACGTTTTCCATCCTAGCCAGTTTCTGATTCTGTCTATCCCACTTTATAGAGAGCTTTTTAGAAGCTGCTTTCATTTTGCTGTTTTTTGGTCTATAATGATGGGTCCACAGCTTGATCGCAAGGATGTACGGTAACTTCTAGCAAAGTTGTTTGTCTGATTGGCCAGGTCCTCAGCAGATGGGATCTGTAAACCCTAATCCATCCCATTTTTTCTCTTTTTTAGTGCTACCTACAAATGCAAGAAAAACTAGAGATACTGTAAATCTCTATGGAGATTCTCAGTCATCCAAGTCATAGTTGTCCCAAAGGTGCTTTTTCAAAAGGCAACTGAACTTTATTGGTTTTTAAGGGATTTCATTTCCTCTGGACTGAAAGGGTGGTGGAAGTGAGCAGCTGATCTATTTCTAAGTTGAAATGCTATTCATTGTGTATGGTTAACTGTATTTTTACTTCTAGATGGTTTGTTAAGATGAACTAAACCCTCCACACTGTCTCCAGGAGGAGGAGAGAGAGGTGTTCTCCCATGCAGTTTCTCATCCTGTCTGTTTCACTTTGTAGTCTTAGGAATGGCTTTCATTTTGCTAATGTCAGACTTGCCCCAATCCGATCTCTTAGGAAAGAAAGCATCTCAACTCCATTTAATTGAAATGATCGGTTCTTTTACTAAAGAAATGTTGGTTGCAGTAGAGTCAGACTACAACTAAATTTATGGAATGGAATGGAATAAGAATTAAGAGTAGAAAATAGAATAAGAATTAAGAGTAGAACAGGACAGAAACAAACAGAATAGAATAGAATAACAGAGTTGGAAGGGGCCTTGAAGGTCTTCTAATCCAACCCCCTGATCAGGCAGGAAACCCTATACCAGGGGTAGGCAACCTCGGCTCTTTTATGACTCATATGGGAATTCTGGGAGTTGAAGTCCATGAATCATAAAAGAGCTGAGGTTTATTTATTTATTATTTATTTATGAGACTTATATACTGCTTTTAAGTGCAAGCACTCTCTAAGCGGTGTACACCAGTAAGCAATGTATGTATATATATATATATATTTACATTGCCCCCAACAATCTGGGTCCTCATTTTACCTACCTCGGAAGGATGGAAGGCTGAGTCAACCTTGAGCCGGTGAGATTTGAACCGCTGATCTGCTGAACACAGTCAGCTAAAGTGGCCTGCAGTACTGCACTCTAAATGCTGCGCCACCTCAGCTCCTAGGTTGCCTACCCCTGCCCTATACCATTTCAGACAAATGGTTGTCCGATCTCTAGAGCAGTCACAATTTCTGGAGGCAAGTTTTCCCACTGATTAATTGTTCCAACTGTCAGGAATATTTTTTCTTAGTTCTAGGTTGCTTCTCCCCTTGATTAGGAGATACAAATGGTTTTCCCTCCTCCCAGCCCTCCTCCCATGACCAGTCCATCTTCAAGCAATAAGGATCCACCTAGGTATTTTGAGAACACTGAGATGTTTGGGGAAATCCACATTCTTTCTCAGGGTACATGGCTTCAGGTGCTGGTACAAACTGTTTCAGAGCTTCTTTGTACTTCCATTTCCCCTCCTCCCTGTTTCCCATCATGTACACACACAGGTTAATTGCCCATTTGTCCCCCATGTCCTCCCTTCTCCTAGCCTTTGATGGCAGGATGCCAGCAAGCGCCCCCCCCCGCCCATTTTCATGGAGATCTTCCTTAGGGACAACTAGGGGAGAATGAACATGTCCAAACTGAAAACCGGTATTTTCAAGGGAAAACTTCCTCAAGCAGAGTTAGGACATCCATCCACCCATCAATCAGAATAAACCTGAAAGGGACCTTGGAGGTCTTCTGTTCCAACCCCCTGCTCAAGCAGGAGACATCAGTCGATGCTTCCCCTTTCTCCAATGTAAATTTGGTGAACCTGTTCTCTCTCATCATCCAATTTTTGAACAAAGTCAGCTTTCAAAAGTCCCTCCTGTATCCTTTGAACTGAACCTGAAGGAGAAGCAGAGTTGATGGGGACCCACCCTGAGACTCAAAAATGATTTTCCCCAAAGCATCAGGGGTTTGTATTCTGCAGCACAGACAGCAAGAGGGAAGCCTGTGGCAGATTATTATATCGACTACTGAAGATATGAACATAATACCATGTTTTGAACACGGCCTGCTAGAAGCAGGGAGAAGAATCACAAAAAGAGCTGTGGGAAGTCAACTCCCCAGAGAAGGAAATATTAAAAGGGCAGAAAAATATATTTCCTTCAAGGATCTTAAAGAGACAGAAAAGCATGCCCAGTTTTTCTTGATATCCCCAGGTCTCCCTCCCCCAAGCAGAAGCCAGCTCTGTACAAATGCAGGTGTAAGCCATCAGGAAAGTTTGAGCCAGAAGCTCAAGAAGACAAAGACCTAAAATCTGCATACCTCACCTGTGAGAGGACATGGTAGGATTAACTCACAAATACCAGAAAGGCACACCCAGGTCAGATTACATGACACAGGAATACAAAGCCTGAAACAGGAACAGGAACCACTTCAAACAAAAGGCTAGATAGGGTACAAAAACCTACCGTATATGCCGGCGTATAAGGCGACTTCCGCAAGCGTTAAAATCGGCGCCAAAGACGGGGGTCGTCTTATACGCCAAGTCGTCTTATACAGCGGAAATACTGGTAGTTTCCAGCGTATAAGATGATGTTCTAGGAATGCGACTCGGCGCCAAAGACGGGGGTTGTCTTGTACACCGGGATATACAGTACTACCCATGTGCTCAGGCCCTTCTTTTCTCTGGTCTTTCCTGCAAGAACCATCTTTCTGGCTTTTCAATAAACTGCTACCTTCTTTCTAAAGCAATTGCCATATTCTTTATTTATCCCTAACTTGGATGAACCAGGATAAAGACTTTTCTTTCAACAGAGCTAAGAGAAAAATAGAAATGGTGGTGGGAGTTTCAGGAATGTTCAAATAAGGGATGCAACAAATGATGCTTAATTCCTTTCACACCACCATTTGTGTCATGTATCCTTTTTTTTCTCTCCCCCAAATAGGTGGTGATGTGAAGATAGAGGGTTCTAGCCAAGCAGTGGCAACACCTTTTCTAACAGCCAAAAAGGAAGATGCGGAAAAGATGAGTGAAAAGGAAAGGCTTGGGGGAAAGGAGGAGCTGAAGAAATACTCTAGTTTCCAGTGTGCAGATATCGGCTCTTTCTTGCACAGTGATGATCCCCAAGAAAAAGGAGCATGTCCAGGGTGCGGGAAAATACCCAGAGATGAATTGGGATTATGTGATTGTGTAGAGAAACAAAGTGAAAGCGGGGAATGCTCGAGAAGGACCCTTCCTCTTACTTTTCATCAGAAAATACAAGAGGGAGAGAAACTGTACAAATGCACGGAGTATGTGGAAAACTTCGGTACAAGCCATTCCCTCACATCCCATAAAAACATTCCCAAAACAGGGGCTCCATACAAATGCCTGGAATTTGGAGAAAACATCAGTCAGAAAAGTCACCTGAATTCCCATCAGAGCATCCACAAAGGGAGGAAGCGGCATCAATGCATCACCTGCGGAAAGAGCTTCAGAATGAGCAGCTCTCTAACTTCCCATGAATGCATCCACAGCGAGGAAAAGTTGTATCAATTCAGGGAGAATAGAACGAAGCTTACCCAGAGCCAGGAACCAAATTCCTGGGGAAAAAAACCCACTGGGAATGATTCATGTAAATGCCTGGAATGTGGGAAGAGCTTCCGTTCTGCAACTCACCTCACTTATCATAACAGGATCCATTCTGGGGAAAAATCATATCATTGCACAGTGTGTGGAAAGAGCTTCACCCAAAATGGCTATTTCAATTTACATAAGAGGATCCACACCGGAGAGAAGCCGTATAAATGCACAGTGTGTGGAAAATGCTTCACGGCCCGTGGTGCCCTTAATTCTCATAAGACGATTCACACGGGGGAGAAACCCTATGAATGCCTGGAATGTGGGAAAAGCTTTGCCAGAAGCGGTACTCTAACCTTACATAACAGGATCCATAAAGGGGAGAAACCTTATAAATGTCTGCACTGTGGAAACAGCTTTAGTCAAAAAGTTCATCTTCAGTCACACGAGAGGATCCACACGGGGGAAAAACCATTTCAATGCATGGAGTGTGGAAAGAGCTTTTGTGCCTCAGAAAACCTTACTGCCCATCGCAGAAGCCACACGGGGGAAAAGCCCTTTCAATGCCTGCAATGTGGAAAGCGCTTTGCCAATTCTGGTACCTTTCATGCCCACAAACGGATCCACACAGGGGAGAAACCGTACAAATGCCTGGAGTGTGGGAAGAGCTTCTACAAATCCAGCCACCTAACTTCCCATAACAATATCCATACTGGAAAGAAACCATATCAATGCACCGAATGTGGGAAGTGCTTCAATCAAACAAGTCACCTTAATAAACATAAAAGGATCCACACAGGGGAAAAGCCTTATAAGTGCACCGAATGTGACAAATGTTTCATCGACTCGGGGGCCCTTGTTCGCCACAAAAGAACCCACACCGGAGAGAAACCATACGAATGCAAGGAATGTGGAAAAGGCTTTGGTCAAAAAAGAACTTTAATAATACATTACAGAATCCACACTGGGGAGAAACCATACAAATGCACAGCGTGTGGAAAGAGCTTTAGTGATCCTCAAGAACTTGTTTCCCATGAAAGGATCCACACTGGGGAAAAACCCTATAAGTGTGTAGTGTGTGGAAGGGGCTTTAGGACCTCCCGTGACTGTGGTTCCCACAAGCGGACCCACACAGGTGAAAAGCCATACCAATGTGGGGAGTGTGGAAAATGCTTTAGTCAAAATTCCTCCCTTCATATGCATAGAAGAATTCACTCAGGAGAGAAACCATATAAGTGTATGGAGTGTGGAAAATGCTACAGTCGTAGTGGTGCTTTTAATTACCATAGGAGGACACATACTGGTGAGAAACCAGATAAAAGAGTTGAACGTAGAAAAGTAATTAGTTAGAATCAGTCACGTAAAATCGGATTTGCTCATTGGAGAAACTACTATGAATATCTCAAGGTGATAAAGTGCTTCGGTGCTTCTTGTTTGCTTATTCCCATAAATTGATTTAGCTGGAAGAAACTGTAGAAATACATTGAATGTTGAAAGTGTTTCTGAAGCACCAGAAACCTTACTTTCCATATGTCTATGGAAATTCTCAGTCATCCAGATCATGGTTGTCCCCAAAGGTGCTTTTTCAGGAGGCAACTGGACTTTCTTGCTTTTCTTAGAAGACGTTTCGCTTCTCATTCAAGAAGCTTCTTCAGCTCTGACTGGATGGTGGGGAATGGAAGGATTTATACTCCTTGCAGAAAGCTGGTCATTTGCATTCTTTTACAAATGTCTTTGAAGACATTTTCTTTTCTTCGAAGACATTTAGCTATGCACTTTGGGATGAACACCCTTCGATTGGACCTGTGCTTGTCTTAAACAGCGAAGGACAGAAAACATCCTACAGCCAAGAAGACTCCACCCCCATTTGCACCACTCAGGCCATCCTGAGGACGCAGATAAACCTCCAAATGGCCTCAAGGACTCTCTAAAAGAATGCAAATGACCAGCTGTCTGCAAGGAATATAAATCCTTCTTGATTCCCCACCACCCAGTCAGAGCTGAGGAAGCTTCTTGCATGAGAAGTGAAATATCTTCAAAGAGAAACAAAAAAGTGCAGTTGCCTCCTGAACAAGCAGCTTTGGGGCTTACTTTCCATTAAAAGACATGTAAATGAAGGGGGTCTTAATGGAGCTTTGACGTGAAAAGTATCTCATTAAAGCAGTGGTTCTCAACCTGTGGGTCGAGACCCCATTTGGGGTCGAACGACCATTTCACGGGGGTCTCCAAACAACGCAGTCCGCCATTTTTTTCCCCTTTTTCTTAGCTGTGCTACTCCCTTTTAATCTATTGGCTTTTGAAAGCCAATAGAATAGACTCTCTTGAATAGAGTCTAATTCTATTGGCTTTCAAAAGCCAATAGGAATTGTCCAGGCTGTCTCTGCCCTGCTGAGCCCGCCAAAAGTCCCATTCTGCAAACGGTGCTGCACCAGTTGAGTAGTCCTCGACTTACGACCGGTTGAGTAGTCCTCGACTTATGACCGGTTGGGGGTCACGGCATTAAAAAGGTTGAGAACCACTGCATTAAAGGATCCACATAGAAGGGAACTCATATCCTTCATGACATGCTGGAAGCGATTCAGAACCGAAGCAACCTTAATTCCTATGGAAGAACACATATTGGGGAGAAACAACGCATCACAAGCGCAGAAGCGATTTTTATGCACAATTCTTCATTTTCTACCCCATAGGAAGATGAAACTTTAAAAAGGAAGGCTCTTAAACAGAGGCAAATAGTTTATCTGAACTCCATACTTCGCCCCAATTCTGTTTCTGACTTTTCTGCTGATACTTAACATTTAAGGCAGGGATCCCCAACCTGTGGGGCCTGAGGGTTTTGCAACTGAGCCATGGATGAGTGCACGCACATCCTTACTCGTTCAACCGGGGTGTGAGCGAGCACACGTGGCTGTGCTCCATTTCTGCATAACTCTCTAGCAATTGAGAGGGAGATTGGATCTTGAAAACAAACAACTGTCAAGATTATTATACCCTTCCACACACACACACACACACACACTCTCGTGCACTCATGGCCGGCACGAGCGCACCCACATCCTTTCTCACTCAAGCGGTGTGTAAGCGAGCGCACGTTCCTGTGCTCCAGGTGCGCAAGGGGCAGGTGTGCGTGCACGTTCCTCGTGTAAAGGGAGCTGTGCATGCACTTGCCAGCTGCTTATGCAAACCATCCCCTCTCTCCCCTGCCGGTCTGCAAAACATTGGAGAACTGTTGATTTAAGGTGTAAGAGGATTCAAAACATGGTTCTAAGTAAAGTGGGAAATTGTGTATGTTGTAGCACCTCTTTCATCTATTTTTTTTTATTTGTATAGCTGCCCATCTTATACATGGTTCCAGCTGGCTTACTATTGACATAAGAGCAAAGTAAAAGCACAACCAATAATTAAAAGCAACAAAATAGCAGTGAGAATAATCAAACACCACACAATACAATCAGACAACGGGCTCATCCAGACTATCAGGGCCCCAGGCTTGATGACAAAGCCAAGGTATTAATGCTTTAAAAAAGGCCAGCGAGGTTGAACTAAGCCGGATCTGGATGGTGGGGAGATGATATTGCCATGGCCCAAAAAACCCACCTCCTATGTAGCACTAGATGCCACTCTTGGGGATGGAACCCAGAACAAGCTCTCTTGGGCACAAAGCCAGACCTAACAGGGTGGATAGACACTACAGGTAGTCCTCGACATACGACCACAATTGAGCCCAAAATTTCTCTTGGTAAGGGAGACATTTGTTAAAGTCAGTTTTGCCCCATTTTTCAACCTTTCTTGCCTCAGTCGTTAAGTGAATTACCGCAGTTGATAAGTTAAGTCACGTGGTTGTTAAGTGCATCTGGCTTCCTTGTTGACTTTTGCTTGTCAGAAGGTCACAAAAGGTGATCGCGTGAGCCCCCAGGACACTGCAACCGTCATAAATAGGAGTCAGCTGCCAAGCGTCTGAATTTTTATCGCAGGACCATGGGGATGCTGCAGTTATGACCGTAATTTTGAAAAGTGGTCATAAATCCCTTTCTTCAGCGCCGTTGTAACTTCAAATGGTCACTAAACAAACTGTTGTAACTCGAGGACTACCTGTACTGGAGACTTGGGGGGGGGTTCCATAAGTAACCCAGCCACAAGGCATGAAGGGATTGGAGTGGTTTACCTCACCAAGGGGAAGATCCTGGTGTAGAGTCAAACGAGCATAACTCTCTAGCAATTGAGAGGGAGATTGGATCTCGAAAACAAACAAGCGTCAAGATTGTTATACCCTTCCACACTCACACCTGACCCGCTGTCTTTTACCATGGGTGCCAAACTCGCTGCGTGACGTGACGTGTCCTGTCAGAACGTTATCGACTATGGAAAACCCCATTTCTGCCCTCTCTGGATTCTGTCATACGATGGAGGGGAAGGGGGTGGTGGTGAACAAAGGGGTTTTATGGCCCTCACTGTAAGGGCTTCAAAGGACTTGAATGTGGATACCACCCAAAAGGACTAAAGCATAAGAATGGGGCCATCAGCTTTGATCTGCTCTCTGAAGTCTCCCTTCCACCGGCAGTGAGGAAAAAGGGGCTGGAAATGTAGCGCCTGAGATTGTGGCTGGAAAGATGGTGGGGTGGGGTGGGGTGGGGCTGCTGGGGACCCCTTAAAATCTTGAACCGCAGGGCTTGGGCCCCAGGTCCTGTCTAGAACGCCTGCAACCATTTTCTCTTAATAAAGGATGCCTGTTGGAAGGAATATTCCAAGAGTTCTGTCTTCTTAAGATGCCAAGAATTTTTTTGCATTGGCGGAGCTCAGGTGGGCGCAGCCTCCGCACGATGCAAACGGCCTGTGGACTGGCAGTTTGACACCCGTCTTTCACCCTCCAATGACCCTCACCTGAAGTAACCTCCCCATCACAAGACTCATCACAAGCCTCTGATGACACCCCTGACCCATCACCAGATCCTCACTTGACATACCCACACCTTATAAACAGAAGAGCGCAGATACACCCCCTAAATTCCACTGAATATGTTACCCAGCCTCTCGTAATGAAACATTCAGGTACCAAGCACAAGCTTGGAGGACGAACGTATCACCCTCATTCTACAAACCTGAATTGCAGATATTCCTCACTATTGCAAACTTGTGTGGCTTTCTGGTGCTTTGGAAAATAAATTGACCCCCTCTTCTTTATGGCCACCTCTCAAATACTGGAATACTGCTATCGTGTCCCCCCCCCCCAGTCTTTTCTCTAGACTAGCCAAACCCCAATCCTACAACTGCTCTTCATGTGTTTTAGTCTCCAAGCCTTTAATCGTAATAATAATAAGTAGTAGTAGTAGTAGTAAAGTTAGAAGGGACCTTGGAGGTCATCTAGTCCAACCCCCTGCTCAGGCAGGAAACCGTATACCATTTCGGACAAATGGCTGTCCAGTCTCTTCTTAAAAACATCCAGTGTTGGAGCATTTCCTGCTTCTGGAGGCAGGTTGTTCCACTGATTAATTGTTCTCACTGTCAGGAAGTTTCTCCTCAGTTCTAGGTTGCTTCTCTCTTTGGTTAGTTTCCACCCGTTGCTTCTTTCCTGCCTTCAGGTGTTTTGGAGGGTAGCTTGACTCCCTCTTCTTTGTGGCAGCCCCTGAGATATTGAAACACTGCTATCATGTTCCCCCTCATCCTTCTCTTCATTAAACTAGACACCCCCAATTCCAGCAACCGTTCCTTATATGCTTTAGCCTCCAGTCTCCTGATCATCTTTGTTGCTCTGTACTCTTTCTAGTTGCTCTTCTTTGCACTTTTTCCAAAGTCTCAACACCTTTTTTGTAATATGGTGACTAAAACTGGCCAATTAACCAGTGCAACAACTTGCCTCCAGAGGTTGTGGGTGCTCCATCACTGGGGGTTTTTAAGAAGAGACTGGACAGCCACTTGTCTGAAATGGTATATAGAGTCGCCTGCTTGAGCAGGGGGTTGGACTAGATGACCCCCAAAGTCTCTTCCAGCTCTATTCTGATTAAGATGAAGATTAATCTTTATGATTCAAACCAGAATCAGCAACAGAAAGGTGAGCCAAGAGGTTTTCATCAGAATAATAATAATAATAATAATAATAATAATAATAATAATAATAATAATAATGTTGGAAGGGACCTTGGAGGTCATGTAGTCCAACCCCGTTCAGGCAGGAAACCTAATACCATTTCAGACAAATGGCTGTGCAGTCTCTTCTTAAAAACCCCCAGTGATGGAGCACCCACAACCTCTGGAAGCAAGTTGTTGCACTGGTTAATTGTTCTAACTGCCAGGAAGTTTCTTCTCAATTCTAGG